TCATATATGAAGCCCATTTTGGGTGCTACCAGCTTCATATATGAAGCCCATTTTGGGTACTACCAGCTTCATATATGAAGCCCATTTTGGGTGCTACCAGCTTCATATATGAAGCCCATTTTGGGTGCTACCAGCTTCATATATGAAGCCCACCTTGGGTACTACCAGGTGGGTATCTGGTACTACCATTTTGGGTACTACCAGCTCCACCTGGGTTTCCTCTAGGGACTCCACTAGACCGGCACCTTGTGGCTTCCTTCTACAGGTTCCGGGGATCAACGGCCCCGTGACCCGGTCTCCGACCAGGCCTCCCGGTTGGTCGTCTGGTCAACCAGGCTGTTGGACGAAGCTGCTCGCGGCCTGACCTCTGAATCACAGCCTGGTTGATCAGGTATTATTCTCTGGAGCTCCTTATAAACACAGCCCCCCCCCCTCATAAACACATTCACTCACAAACATCTAAACTAAACACAGTTTAGATGTTTTACTGAGTGGATTTTAACAGTAAAGGACGAGGGATTCGAACCTGCGTCCTCTCGGACCTAGGTTCGAACCCTCGTCACGGCCCCATGTGGATTTGTTCAAAGGATTTAAGGCATAGAACCCGACCTATGCCTGTGCTTGGACGAGCGGAGTTTCCAAATGGGTTGCTTAAATATTCCCTTGTTGAGTGCTTCAAAGGATTTAAGGCATAGGACCCGACCTATGCCTGTGCTTGGACGAGCGGAGTTTCCAAATGGGTTGCTTAAATATTCCCTTGTTGAGTGCTTCAGGATGGGTCCGGTGTAGACTGGTAGCTGTAAACTTCCTGGGGGGGGGGAGGGTAATCAAGTTTACAATGGTGGAGGCTTTTGGGCTTCTCCAGCAAGGACAGTTTACCTTGGTGGTTGTTAAGTTCTACAGAAAGTTCAGGGGAGATTAGTGGGTTACCTTGGGGTGCTTCCGGGGCTTAGCGTCCCCGCGGCCCGGTCGTCGACCAGGCCTCCTGGTTGCTGGACTGATCAACCAGGCTGTTGGACGCGGCTGCTCGCAGCCTGGGTGTTGACACTTGCAGGGACTCCTGTGTACACTTGTGTACCCAGGACACAAGTGTCTTCTCAAGCTCCATAACATGTTTAGTGATACATCGTCAAAGACATGATAGAGAGAAACAAACAAACAGAGTAACAAACAAAGGAGATATTAAGGTGTAATGAATATCAACACAAAAGAAAGACAGCAAAAATTGACTCAATTTGGAACGCCCTGGGTAAATACTGGTCGAGTTATGGAGTCTTATGGACGTGGGAGGGCTGGATTGTTTCAAGAGCAGGTTAGACATATTATAAATGAGTTTGGATGATATATAAATAGGAGCTGCCTCGTATGGACCGATAGGCCTTCTGCATCTGTACTTATTATTAGGTTATTCACCACCCAGAGCCATAACATAGTGCCAGTGCCATGATGCATGGCACCACGAGCCTATATGAGCCTCCCGGTGCCAACGACAAACCCGTGACACGGCACACTACGAAAATTAAAAATAATTTCAAGAGAGGAATGTTTGGCAGAGTCACTCAGAGTAAGTGCCAAGAGTAGAGCTTACGGCCACTTACTCTAGGTATTCTACTTGTGTGTGTCTACTGAGGTGAAGGTGAGTACACTTGACTGTGGCGTGAGAGCTAGGGGGCATTGTCCCCTGAGACCTAGAGCTAGGGGGGGCATTGTCCCCCCTGGGATCTAGAGCTAGGGGGCATTGTCCCCCCTGGGATCTAGAGCTAGGGGGCATTGTCCTCAGGGACTTAGAACTAGGGGGCATTGTCCCCCAGGGACTTAGAACTAGGGGACACTGTCCCCCAGGGACTTAGAACTAGGGGACACTGTCCCCCAGGGACTTAGAACTAGGGGACACTGTCCCCCAGGGACTTAGAACTAGGGGACACTGTCCCCCAGGGACTTAGAACTAGGGGACACTGTCCCCCAGGGACTTAGAACTAGGGGACACTGTCCCCCAGGGACTTAGAACTAGGGGACACTGTCCCCCAGGGACTTAGAACTAGGGGACACTGTCCCCCAGGGACTTAGAACTTGGGGACACTGTCCCCCAGGGACTTAGAACTAGGGGACACTGTCCCCCAGGGACTTAGAACTAGGGGACACTGTCCCCCAGGGACTTAGAACTAGGGGACACTGTCCCCCAGGGACTTAGAACTAGGGGACACTGTCCCCCAGGGACTTAGAACTAGGGGACACTGTCCCCCAGGGACTTAGAACTAGGGGACACTGTCCCCCAGGGACTTAGAACTAGGGGACACTGTCCCCCAGGGACTTAGAACTAGGGGACACTGTCCCCCAGGGACTTAGAACTAGGAGACACTGTCCCCAGGGACTTAGAACTAAGGGACACTGTCCCCCAGGGACTTAGAGAGAGGGGACACTGTCCCCCAGGGACTTAGAACTAAGGGACACTGTCCCCCAGGGACTTAGAGAGAGGGGACACTGTCCCCAGGGACTTAGAGAGAGGGGACACTGTCCCCAGGGACTTAGAGAGAGGGGACACTGTCCCCCAGGGACTTAGAGAGAGGGGACACTGTCCCCCAGGGACTTAGAACTAAGGGACACTGTCCCCCAGGGACTTAGAGAGAGGGGACACTGTCCCCCAGGGACTTAGAGAGAGGGGACACTGTCCCCAGGGACTTAGAGAGAGGGGACACTGTCCCCCAGGGACTTAGAGAGAGGGGACACTGTCCCCCAGGGACTTAGAACTAAGGGACACTGTCCCCCAGGGACTTAGAGAGAGGGGACACTGTCCCCCAGGGACTAAGAAATAGGGGACACTGTCCCCAGGGACCTGGAGGGTGGGGACACATGTACAAATGGAAGACAGCCCTTAACAAAGGGGATATAAATAGGACTGAATTGATCACATCAAGAGAGAGAGCGCAACAGTGGCTTGAGGCTGACCAAGTTTAGTTGGGGAGGAGTGTATATATATACACCAGTTTTGTCACTATAAATTGTCACCATTTTGTCACTGCGGACGTCGCTCGACTCTTCATCTCCCGTTTTCTTTGACTCGTCTCGTGATAATATAATCTGCTTCCATAATATTAGAGGGAGAGAGAGAGAGGAAGAATGGGAAGTAATGTTTATTAATCGATAGGTATACTAGTTATATTCCTAGTGTTTATATATATATATTTGTGTCTCGTATGATAATGTTAATACTTTTTATTTGTCTGTTATACTTAGTATCCTTAAAACCCGTATTATTATTATTTTAAAACTCATTTATTGGTCGAACTCCTCAGTCTTTTTTCATTGGTTGTGATAGCAAGAACCTTTTATTGATTCTAAAACCTTTTTAGAGTTTGATGCTGTCTTGAGATATTAGTAAACATTCTTCCTGTTTAAATCTATCTTGAGTCTTAATCACTTCCTCATTGGGCTCCTGAGAAAAGATTCGCCACTCTCCATTTCGGCCACAGTCGATCTGATAACCAGTTGTGCAACGCTGGGGACTTGGCGCCTCATGCCCGCAGCCAATCAGCGTTCTTCCCGCCACATTGACATTTTCTTCACCAATTATGGCGGAGCTGGGAGGCGTGACCGGGCCCTTGGTCGTACGTTGGTCGTACCGGGCGCTTAGCCTAGGCGTAGGACGTAAATAAATCATTATAAGGGCTACCCGACCTTCACATTTGCTGAACTATGAAGGACTCGATTCTCCATGGCGATGATGTTTTTCCTCTGTTGTTCGTTTTTGTCTTATGTGTAACAGCCTGGAAGTCGACGCTGCGGCGTTAACTTCACGGTGCAATAATCGGTTTTGTGAGCGGTTACGGTGAGATAAATAGGTGTAACTGGCCAGGCCCCACACGCACCAAGCTGGTCTGAAGACTTGATGGGGGTCTAAGGGGTCTCTCTATAACACCCCCTTAACCCCCTTTCCTGTGGAAAGGGGGTTAAGGAACCATCAACCATCACCATCAACTTGGAATGGAACCATCATGTGTGGAACCATCAACTTGAGAATGGTCCAGGACGGACCGAAACGTCGTCGTCCCTTCACCTTCTAGTGTGTGGTCTGGTCAACATACTTTAGCCACGTTATTGTGACTCATCGCCTGCATATGGAACCAACCCACTGGCGGAGGAGTACTGTATGCACTCCATGGTGGGGAATTTCTGAATGTTAAGAGCATTATTATCATACACTGGTGGAGGGAGTTATCAGGGTATCTCTTCCCAGCTCACTCCAGCAGCCACTCTCCCCACCTTTTCCACCCGTGCTTGATGGCCAAGACCAATGTGTAAAGGTATGCTGCATCTTGTGGACTGAGGGAGGGGGGGATTTTCACCGTGATTGGAATAGGTCAATGACCATGATTGGAACAGGTGCATCAGGTTTCACCCTGATGCACCTGTTCACCTAGCAGTAAATAGGTACCTGCTTCCTGGGGGATGTGTATGTTAGAAATCTATGTAGTAGACATAAAAATAGGAAATAATAAATCGGTTAGAAAGGCGGGGTCCAAGAGCTAATAGCTGGAGTCTGGAGACACAAATAGTCAATAGAGCCGCCAGCGTGTCAAGATGAGGAGCATCACGGACCGTAAACATCACATTACCGTCCAACTTTCCCTCTCATCTTGATATACTGGTGAGGCTGCTGGATGCTGCTCGGCCCCTGCATCCTCTCTAGCCAAAATTAAGACCTGTTTCGCGGCCATCTTTATTGGCTGAAGACATTCTATAAAGCGCAGCTGGGGAAGGGAGGAGGAGGGAGGGGGGCTCGTGAGGTTATAGATGTGTGTGGTTGGAGGGGGGGGGGGCTGTGGAGGTGCAGGTTTAAGTGTTGTAACGGTTGTGATGCACGCAGATTATAATATTTAGTGACTGTTGCCGTGGGGGAGATGTTTGGGCTCTGATCTAAAAGTGGAAACATTGGCATTGGCTTGGTGTATGTGTGTGTTGTGTGCATATTTGTGTGTCTGTATGGCAGGAGGTGTAGATACCTTCTGTATGGCAGGATGTGTAGATGCCTTCTGTATGGCAGGATGTGTAGATGCCTTCTGTATGGCAGGATGTGTAGATGCCTTCTGTATGGCAGGATGTGTAGATACCTTCTGTATGGCAGGAGGTGTAGATGCCTTCTGTATGGCAGGAGGTGTAGATGCCTTCTGTATGGCAGGATGTGTAGATGCCTTCTGTATGGCAGGATGTGTAGATGCCTTCTGTATGGCAGGAGGTGTAGATGCCTTCTGTATGGCAGGAGGTGTAGATGCCTTCTGTATGGCAGGAGGTGTAGATGCCTTCTGTATGGCAGGATGTGTAGATGCCTTCTGTATGGCAGGATGTGTAGATACCTTCTGTATGGCAGGAGGTGTAGATGCCTTCTGTATGGCAGGAGGTGTAGATGCCTTCTGTGTGGCAGGAGGTGTAGATGCCTTCTGTATGGCAGGAGGTGTAGATGCCTTCTGTATGGCAGGAGGTGTAGATTCTGTATGGCAGGATGTGTAGATACCTTCTGTATGGCAGGAGGTGTAGATACCTTCTGTATGGCAGGAGGTGTAGATACCTTCTGTATGGCAGGAGGTGTAGATACCTTCTGTATGGCAGGAGGTGTAGATACCTTCTGTATGGCAGGATGTGTAGATACCTTCTGTATGGCAGGATGTGTAGATGCCTTCTGTATGGCAGGAGGTGTAGATACCTTCTGTATGGCAGGAGGTGTAGATGCCTTCTTTTTATGCATGGACTGAGATCAGCTCTTAGCGTACCTGGTCTGGTCTCGTACCATCATGGTACCATACGCCATGATGGTACGCTGCCATCATGGCGTACCTGATTAAGGAACCAGGTACGCCATGAGGCATAATGTTCCTGGCTGTCTGGGTTCGAATCCTTTTAGGGTGTGGAATTTTCAGTTTATTTTCAGTTTCAATAATCGTCAAAAGGAGACGATGGTCAGGGTACTGTGTACGTTTCAGGGTACTGTGTACGTTTCAGGGTACTGTGTACGTTTCAGGGTACTGTGTACGTTTTAGGGTACTGTGTACGTTTCAGGGTACTGTGTACGTTTCAGGGTACTGTGTACGTTTCAGGGTACTGTGTACGTTTCAGGGTACTGTGTACGTTTCAGAGTACTGTGTTCGTTTCAGGGTACTGTGTACGTTTCAGGGTACTGTGTACGTTTCAGGGTACTGTGTACGTTTCAGGGTACTGTGTACGTTTCAGGGTACTGTGTACGTTTCAGGGTACTGTGTACGTTTCAGGGTACTGTGTACGTTTCAGGGTACTGTGTACGTTTCAGAGTACTGTGTACGTTTCAGGGTACTGTGTACGTTTCAGGGTACTGAGTACGTTTCAGGGTACTGTGTACGTTTCAGGGTACTGTGTACGTTTCAGGGTACTGTGTACGTTTCAGAGTACTGTGCACGTTTCAGGGTACTGTGTACGTTTCAGGGTACTGTGTACGTTTCAGGGTACTGTGTACGTTTCAGGGTACTGTGTACGTTTCAGGGTACTGTGTACGTTTCAGAGTACTGTGTACGTTTCAGGGTACTGTGTACGTTTCAGGGTACTGTGTACGTTTCAGGGTACTGTGTACGTTTCAGAGTACTGTGTACGTTTCAGGGTACTGTGTACGTTTCAGGGTACTGTGTACGTTTCAGGGTACTGTGTACGTTTCAGAGTACTGTGTACGTTTCAGGGTACTGTGTACGTTTCAGGGTACTGTGTACGTTTCAGAGTACTGTGTACGTTTCAGGGAACTGTGTACGTTTCAGAGTACTGTGTACGTTTCAGGGTACTGTGCACGTTTCAGGGTACTGTGTACGTTTCAGAGTACTGTGTACGTTTCAGAGTACTGTGCACGTTTCAGGGTACTGTGTACGTTTCAGGGTACTGTGTACGTTTCAGGGTACTGTGTACGTTTCAGAGTACTGTGTACGTTTCAGGGTACTGTGTACGTTTCAGGGTACTGTGTACGTTTCAGGGTACTGTGTACGTTTCAGAGTACTGTGTACGTTTCAGGGTACTGTGTACGTTTCAGGGTACTGTGTACGTTTCAGGGTACTGTGTACGTTTCAGGGTACTGTGTACGTTTTATGCATTCTGTCACGTTTCTCGTTTGATCTGAATACCATTAAAAAGAAACAAATCCAAACCATCTTCACTAAGTAAACAGTTCATTTTCAAATCAATGAAATTATCATTTGGTCTTTGAAGGCTGATTTTCTAAGAAATACTATTTTCCTCTTGCTTTAACTGCCGTAACAATGTGTTGTTTGCGAGTGTTTACATCTTACAAGTATATCCACACTTGTTAGTCCTTCACGGTGAGTTACCTTACCTTGAGGTGCTTCCGGGGCTTAGCGTCCCCGCGGCCCGGTCGTCGACCAGACCTACCTTAGTGTCACCTCTCTTGTCACTTGATTGTCTTGAGGCCTTTTTCCTTAATGTCAATAATAACATTTTCACTTGACAGAGACTTTACAAATGAAGCACAAATTCGAATGCATTTTAAATGACACGAAAATAGTTTTCAAGTACAGTAATATTACTGTAAAAACAGTATTGTTCCTGTTTAATACAGCAGTAATACAGTCAAGCTGCTCTCCAGTCCTGAAAAAAATAGAAAAATACAATTATGATTTAGTAATAATATCGGCTTACCATTACAGACTTTCCTGTACCCTTATGTATAGTACTTTTAAACAAAACAAGCAATTAAACAACATTTTAATGTACCAAAAGTCGAATTTACCTATAAATTAATGATAATTATATTCAAACCCATTTTATCGGAAACCGTTAATCCTTCATAAGACATTTTGAGAGAGAATTATATTGCCTTTAAGAAAAAAGTATTTGATATCCCTGTAGCTAAAACAGAAAAGAAGATGTATGACAGAAACACATTTTCGGCGCCATTTTTGTCAAGATGGCGCCACGTGGTGGAGTGAGCGGGCTCCATAGTGTGGACTCAGGTCATGCAAGGTCAGGGCCACCGGACCACGAGGTCAAGGTCACCGGGCCATAAGGCCAAGGCTACCGGGCCTCAAGGCCAAGGCTACCGGGCCACAAGGTCAGGGCCACCGGGCCACAAGGCCAAGGCTACCGGGCCACAAGGTTGTGAAGAGCGACAACTTTCAAGAACTCCTGCAGTCGTCAGTTGAGGGGCAATTTATGCTCCCTTTGCTTTGTTATCGCGCGCGCGTGTGTGTGTGTGTGTGTGTGTGTGTGTGTGTGTGTGTGTGTGTGTGTGTGTGTGTGTGTGTGTGTGTGTGTGTGTGTGTGTGTGTGTGTGTGTACGTACCTACACATGTTATAGATACAGCTCCTGCGAACCAAAACTATCACGGGCCGTGTCTGGCCACACGTTGAGAAATAAATGATATATTCCATTCTACAAAAGAAGGGACTTGTCTGCTCCCATATAGATATTAAACACCTGAAACATGGCTGCAGTTATTATTGGGAGGATATATAACGTACCATTGTAGATAGTAAGTCACAATAGTGGTGCAGGACGAACTGCACTTGCTTACTTTCAGGTGTGTGTAGCCAGGTGTGTAGTCAGGTGTATCCAATAAATAATCCCTCACATAGTGCGCCTCTGTAAACCCCTGGCAAATTGCTGTTAATGATTGGTTCGTAGCTGGTGCGACAAACACTTTGACAAGTTGTAGGGCACTATCGTGACCTACCGACAAGGGTCACCTGTCATCTAATAATATTTAAATATATATATATATATATATATATATATATATATATATATATATATATATATATATATATATATATATATATATATATATATATATATATATATATATATATATATATATATATATATATATATATATATATATATATATACACACACACAAGTAACATGTTACAGTGGTTATTTAATGGTACAGTGATTATGTATCGTACGAAGCCACTAATTACTCAGTGTCTGACTACAGCGACTGTGGTGGTAAAGTACAGAAAGTGTACTAATGTTTCACCCTAAAAATGACCACTTTGTCCTGTTTGTACAGGGCCTCAGGAAGACTAACAACCAAGCCTAACTTCTCCTAGACCTAAAATATTTCATATATATATATATATATATATATATATATATATATATATATATATATATATATATATACAAAATTAGGCCTATGATTGTGATTGTAAGGCCTGGTTGTTTAGGCCTAGGAAAGGGTGGGATTGTGATTAGGCTGCTTCAGTTTTTGTTAGTCGTTAGTATTATAATACTAACTTTAGTTGTTGTCATATTTGGAGGAGAGAGAGCGGTGAGTGTGGGGGGGAGGGGAGGGGGGGTTGGGGTATAAAGAGCAAGTACTCACCTATTTGTGCTTGCGGGGGTTGAGCTTTGGCTCTTTGGTCCCGCCTATCAACTGTCAATCAACTGTCAAGTGTGGTATGTGAAGTGTTGGTGGAGGGTTGGAGTATAAGGGGTAAGTGTGGTATGTGAGGGGGGGGTGTTGGTGGAGGGTTGGAGTATAAGGGGTAAGTGTGGTATGTGTGGGGGGGGGGTGTCGGTGGAGGGTTGGAGTATAAGGGGTAAGTGTGGTATGTGAGGGGGGAGCGCGGGGGGTGTTGGTGGAGGGTTGGAGTGTAAGGGATAGGTGTGGGGGGGCGGCGGGGGTGAGGGGGGGGGGGGGGGGAAGCACGTGAATGGTGTACAGGATTACGAGAACATTCCTTTGTGTTATCTTGTGATTAGAGTGACCACACTGGTTACTCATCCTCACCTGCCTGGGTATTGGCGGCGTTTCATACCACCCCCCCCCCCCCCGCCTCTCAGTCATACGTGCCCTAGCTCCTGGGCCCCAGTGGCCTGGTTGATGCTCCTTATTTACAACCCATTTTACCTGCCATTTTCACTCCAAAAATTATATATATATTCTGAATGATGAACTGTTTGAAATTTGAATATTGTTAATCTAGCCTCTTGGTGTTCACTACAGCAACCTGTCCTCTCAAATACTGCACCACATTGCGTAAGTTACGTGCCCCTAACGGACAAAATACGGGGTACTTTAATGACCAGCGGCTAACATCCACTAACATATGTCGGCTCGTTAGGTTAGGTTAGGTTAGGTTAGGTTAGGTTAGGTTAGGTTAGGTGGGAGTCATGGATTCACGTGTGTTCCTGTTGTTTTAGATTGAGCTACTCAGAACGAAATGTCCATGTAGCACGGGCTATGGTGAACCCGTGAACCTCACGCGTGTTAGTGTGCCATATTTTGTACGTTGTGGGGAGGTTGAGGGGTTGCACAGGTGCCGGTCTCAGCCACTCCTCCTAGAACTCAGCGCTGGGATTATCATACATAAATTTGATACATATTCATATAAATCTCATTAACAATATTTTTCTGAATGTTGATGAAGCCTCAAGGGTCAAGAAGGTTGTGCTGAGGGCTGCGGCTCCATCTTGGTCTTATAATAATAATTAATGTAGTAATGTTGACCAGACCACACACTAGAAATTGAAGGGACGACGACGTTTCGGTCCGTCCTGGACCATTCTCAAGTCGATCAATCGACTTGAGAATGGTCCAGGACGGACCGAAACGTCGTCGTCCCTTCAATTTCTAGTGTGTGGTCTGGTCAACATACTTCAGCCACGTTATTGTGACTCATCGCCTGCATAATGTAGTAATGATTCATTGTGTGGCGGGACAGGACGCCAGAGTGTATACATACATGTTTAGGCTTATATCGAGGTAT